TCGAACAGGATTGAAGGTGTCCACACATCCTGCCAGTCAAAGTCTACTTTATTTATATTGGATACAAAAAACAGAGACAGACCGAAGTTATTTTACAAATTATAAGTAGCCACCAATCTAATTTTAACTACTAAAATATGTCGCTGAAGAAAGAATCTTGTTCCCGTCTGGAAAAATTGAGAGGTTGTGTAACGTGTTCACATGGACGGTGATATGACAAGCTGTTGAAAGAGTTTTCTCTCTGGAGCGTCACGTAGGAGTTGGCACTCTAAAGTCCCAACCAAAGTCATACAAACACATCACGGGGAAATCTGCTGGTGAGAAATAACCTACCGACACGTATGTAGAATATGAGAGGAAGTCGCAGCTCCCATGTAAAACCTACACAGAGAACATATGAAGTCTACAAATGATTCCATGCTGGGAAATGAAACTTCACAACTGCAAATATTCTGTCTTGTGCTGAAACACTCTTCATCAAGGCCATGCTGACGGGGTTATGGAAACATTTTTGATGAAGGATCCTTTCCCCCAATTACAGGCTTCTTTCCTTCATAAACCAATTAAAAAAAGATTTCAGGACTTTAAAAGTACACCTAATTATATACAATAAAGTCAATATTTTTAACAAATCACAATTCAAAATGTGTGTGTGTGGTTTATTAACGAAAAAAATATTTTATTGTCAATGATTACATTTACCTTTTAATGTCCCCAAATCACATTTGTTTGGGTTGTTCTTAGAGATGTCAAATTTCCAGAAATTTTTAAGCCATGAGAAAAAATAACTTTTTTTTTTTCTGGAAAAATTGGGGAAAAAATCAGTGCGGAGGAGTTTAACAGATTGAAAGTCATTTTGTTACACTAGGAACGTAGAATGCAGTGTATAAGAATGTATTACGCTTGAAATAAAAGTCCAGTGTATTCAGTAAACTAAACTCGCTTTTAAAAATGTTATTTTATATTTGCAAATTGCAGCTTTATGTCTGTGAAGGTTCATTCATCCAGGTCACATGGTATATCTGTAAAAAAAATAAGTCAAGGCAACTGTATTTTTCTTGAAGATGTTTCACTGGTCATCCAACCAGCTTTCTCAATTCAGAATTTCTGAAGCTGGTTGGATGACTAGTGAACCATCTTCAAGAAATATACAGCGAGTCTGCCAGTTGTCTTGACTTTTTACAGATAAATTGCAGCTTTCCTCTCGCCAGAATTTGTGGAAATGTTTCCAAACTCTAGATGTTGGTCTCACCGTTTTACTGAGAGGAGGAAAAATAAACAAACAATTGACTGAGCAGACTATAAGAGGTGACATTATACTGTGATGGTGGAGAACATTATTAGGAATCATTTAAAGGTTATAAAGATACACTAATTTGTCAGACAAATGTGACCTCTGACCTGAGAGGACAGAAAGCATCATCTACTATCATACCAACAATCACCCAACTGTAGGAAGTGCAAGATGGAGCCCACAAGCTAACTAAACTGGAGCCTTTGCTCCAGTTGTATATTAGGGATCCACCGATACCGGTTTTTCGGTGTCGCGTACGAGTACTGATATTTTTTTTTCAGTACTCGCCGATACCGGAAGTCCCCTTAAGGAAGCTGGGCGGCGTGTAAAGACTCACCACCCGACTTCTCGATTAGCAGGGAAGCTGGCTCCACCACCTGGTGACGAGAAAGCATGGAGTCGGCTTTCTGGCCAATCAGAAAGCCGGGTGCCGTGTAATGACGGCCATATAATATAAAGCTGGCCAATCAGAAAGCCGGGTGCAGTATAGTCACAGAGAGGTTTTTTTTTTTTAAAAGCTTATATACTGATTGTTAGGGTAATGTAAATAATAAATGTCCGCAGCCTGAGCACCGTTCTACTTTTAAAATAGGAGAAAATTGACTAATTTTCAGCCACTGTTCTAATATACTTTTGCAGTTGAAGAACCTTGTGTACAAATCAGATCAGTGGAATTTATGTTTTACATTTGGTAAAATATTAATTGACCCATAATTAGCCTCATCTTCATTCCTCTGTAAAAGGTTTCTTCAGATTAATACATCACTGTCGCTGTTCTGTTCATTTAATGGACAAGGGTGATCAATCTTTAAAAGCCTCGGTGTCAGCACATCCACAAAGATTCCGTCTCTCGGCTGCCGTATGTCTCTATCCATGTCATATGGCCTCTCTTTGTAGCTCTGAACAGGAAAGTTTGACTAGGTCGGCCTTGGCGATCGGTGATAAGTGCTCAGATAACATTTCAGAACGGCTGCGTAAGTGCTTGCTGGTGTTCTCCGCTAACGTAAAGCGCAGGTGCAGCTTGTTTTTCTAATTTAAACATCTCGTCACGTCTGTGACCGGCATTGCTCACTTAATCCCCCAGTCTTGATACTCTAGCACCAAGGAATCCTAAACAAACTGTTCACACCCCTCAACCTCTCAAGTCCCCGGGCCTTTTTCTCCCTAAATCCCCTTGAATCCCAGAGCATTTATTTTTAATTTTTGTGATGTCTCAGCTCTGCACATTATATCTTTCAGGTTTTGAAGTCTACCCTAATGTATTGTACATTGTTTTTTTCGGGACAGATGGGGCTTTAATTTGGTAGCAAATTTGGATACATATATTTTTATTTCCTTGGAGCTCCACAACAACAAATCACAACTAATATTAACCTGTTGCTGGCTGCAATGAGCTAGTAATAAATGACTAGAATGATCTTCTGCTGCAGAGGGAGGCTGGACGGAGCTGCATCATCCCTCCTGAGCCTCGGTGTTTAGAGGAAGTGCCGTGACGTCACTCCCGATGTAAACACAATGCCGAAAGCATCTACTGAGTACTCCTATAGAGCAATCTGTGGAAGGATTGGAAGACCAGGAGATGATTGTTTCAGCTCTTGGTCTTAGTGCTGCATCTTGGCTGATGATGACAGCCAACGGTTCCAGTGTTCATGCCGGTGGGGGCCCGCAGGAGCCGCTGAGTCCAGGTGCCACTTTTTAAATAGAGCCGGGACGAAAAGCCGCTATCCCTGTGCATATTAAAATGGCGTCCGGGACTCAAGTGTTTACCTACAGTGAATTAGAGACAGCTCATACAGTGGAAGTTGTAAGACTGGAGCTACTGGGGATTGAATACAAGAGGAAGCGTCAAGCCCGGATTCATGTCTGTGTATTCATGAGGGATGCTGTTTAGTGTGGATGGGAAATCAAGCGTTTTTTTCTCATTTAGTCTGTGGGGATCAGTGGAAAAAACCCCAAAATGGTGTATAGCCAGCCTAAGGTATACATACATTTGGCTTCCAAAAATTCCTTTCAGTCCAGGAACTCCCACACCCTGGGATCTCTTCCTATTCTATATTAATGTACTCAAATGCAGTGGTCACCTCTCAGAAGATCACTAAAGGGCCTGCAGGGCGGCGTGCTGCTGCTCTATCCAACGTTAATGCTTGCCTACTGAGCGCGCCGCAAATGTTGTGTTGATAGAGCGCAGAGGAACAGTTATTAGAAGATGAGTTGTCAATCTCTGGTGCTGTTATTGCTTTTTGATGTCATTTTATAGTTTAGTAATGTTACTTCATAAAACTTGTCTTATATTGTAAAACTGAACAAGTAATGTAAAATAAAAGAATGCTTATCAGCATGAGCCGGGCTGGAATTTTTCCCACGGCCTTCTCTTCTTGCCTACGTGTTTTATCTTTTACTTTTCTGGGGTAGTTTTTGTAGCGTAAAGCTGGACATACACAGATTATTATTTTTTTTTTTTATGAACATTCATAGGAAAAAAATAAGGTCAATGTCGTTCCAAATTTTGCTTGTTTTTAACATTTGATTTTAAATGGCGTTTCCCAAACTAAAACCACATTCACTGTTAGATTTTTGTTCGTTTGCTCTTTTAGGTTTTTTGTTTTTTTTTGAGTAAAAGTCTCCTGGAATAGAAACCAGTAAAAAATCTGTAGAGGATGACAACCAATCATATTCAGCTGTTGTTTTTCTAGTTCAGTTTAGAAAACAAATGGAAGGATCTGATTGGTGGTAATAAGCTTTTCTAGGGTCGTAATATTATTATTAGCCCTTATTATTATCAGAATGAAAACACATTAGAGTATACCTATAGCCAAAACCTTTCTGCCAATCTCCCCAACATAATGCAATTATGACTTGACATTGGTTTTAGCCTCTTACAATTCTTAACC